TCCCTGCTCCTTGGGCGACTGCTTCTCCCTCTGCTTCTCTCTCTCTCTCTCCCCCTCTGTCTCTCATGAATGAATAAATAAAATCTTAAAAAAAAAATGACTGGCATTTGAGGATTTCCAGAGAATCTAGGATGTGGCAGGGGCCTTTGATCTTTGGTAGCCTCCCATCCAGTGCAAAACTTTTTCCACAGCATCCCTGTCAATGGCCATTCAGCCCTTGCTTGACTTTCCAGGTCAAGAGTCTGGCACCTCATAGGGCATCCATTCTGTTTCTGGCTGAGTCTCATTGTCCAGAAGTTATTTTGAACCGAATCCTAACCCTTAACTATCCGTCTGGTGCCCCTGTGCCTCCCAGGACACGGCCCCGCCCCCTAAAAAAAGAAGAGGGAGTGGTTCTACAGCCAAAAAGGTCCCACACCTGAGAGCCGGTCTCCACCCTGCCACTTCCAGCTGGGTGATAACCTGGGGCCCCTCCCCAGCCCCCCTTTTCTTCATCTGTCAAATGAGGATCAAACTCCCGCCAGCCCCCGAGCCCCCTCCCAGGATGTCAGAGCGACAAAGGGTCGGGAACTGTGGAACCCCATCATCACACCTAGGAAGCTCAAGATTCGCTTTCCAGCCCCTTCCTCTACCCACTCACCCGGGGGCTGGGGGTGGGGGGGACCCTCCTCCCTGGAGGTGCCCCGAGGCGGGAGCCGCCGCTCCAGCCCCGTCCGCGCCGCAGGGGGACGCAGAGGGACTGCGCCTGCAGCCTGGGGACCCAGACGCCGGGAGGGCGCCCCGGCCCCGCGGTCCCGCCCCGCGGCGACCCGTGCGTCCCCGCCGGCTTTGGTGGCGGCGGCGGCGGCGGTCCCCAGCCCGCCCAGCCCGGTGCCCGGCCGCGCCGGGGCGGAGCGCGGACCCACCTGCGGCGGCGCGATGAGGGCCGGGGTCCCGCTTCGCGGCTGCTCGACGCTGTGCGCCGGCCGCGCCTCGGCTCGCCGCCGCCGCCGGGCCCTCCCCCCGGGCCGCTCCACGTGGCCGCTCCACGTCGCCCTCCCGTCGGCCGCCGCCCTGGCCCGGGCAGAGTCCGCAGGGGCCGCGGCCGTCACCCTCTGCAGCCCCCGCACCCCCGCCGGGCTTCCTCCCCGCGGTCCCCGCGCGTGTGCGTGTGTGAGCGCGCGTGTGTGCGTGTGCCTGTGTGTGCGCGCGCGTCTCCGTGAGAGAGACAGAGACGGACATCTAGAGACACAGAGACAAAGAGGCGGATGGCACGCTGGTGTTCACGAGAAGCAGGTCTCACGGTGCCGGTGCCGCCGGTGCCACAGCCTGCTGGCCCCCAGATGTGCAGGACAAGACAGCAGCTGTTAGTGTGACGTGACTGCTGGCTGTGAGTGTGAGGCGCCCGTGACGGTAGGGGTATGGACGCTGTATCCAGACTGACAAGATGGCCCTGAGAGAGTATGGCCGGTGTGTGAATGACTGGGTGTGTGACAGGAGAGGACATTCGTGGCACACGTGTCAGGGTATCTGGTGGAACTCTTCCTGAGTTGTCTGTGATGCTCAAGGGACAGCCGTGACTGCCGGTTTCCAGGGAAGGTGTCATTGTGTGGCTGTGACCGTGTGCATCACTGAGAAGTGGCTCCATATGAGACACAGTTGGGGAGGGCCTGGGAAAGGATCATCTTAAGGGCAATGGTGGCAGTCTTTTGCCAGCACAGAGTGTAGCTTTGAGGTCAAAATGGTGTGTCACCTACTTTCGTCACAGTGATTGGTTCCACCTACGCTTCAGACTACATCCTCACCCACTGGCCCAAGGTCTTAGTTCTTTAAAGGAGTAACTTCAACTCTCCCAGAATCTTCAGAATCTTCAACTTCTCCCTCTCCATCAGCTCCTTCCCATCAGCATCTATCACGACAAACAGACTCTCGTCAAGGTCACCCTGTCCTCCTTCCTATGGTGGACACTGCTGGATACTACCCGCTGGAATTACGGTATCCACTGGCTGCAGCAACACCATTCTTTCTCTTGGCACTTCTTCTTCGTTTTCTTTGTGTCCGAGTCCTCTGGGCTGTCTCCTCACTCCCCATCTGCTCATATGTTCATCTGTTCATGTAGTTTCCATCACTATCTGTTATGGGTGGAACTGAGTCCCTCAAAAAGTCATATGTTGTCATCCTAACCCCCAATACCTCAGAATGTGACCTTATGGGGAAATAGGGTCATTGCATGTACAATTAGTGAAAATAAGGTCATGTTGGCCCACACTACTCCATATGACCGGTGTCCATACACACACACACACAGGGAGAACAGCATGTGAAGACGCAGGCAGAGATTGGAATGAAGCTTCTACATGCCAAGGAATGCCAAAGGTTGCCAGCAAACCCCCGGAAGCTAGAGAAGAGGCATGGAACAGATGCTTCCTCACAGCTCTCAGAAGGAGCCAATCTTTCTGAACCTTGGACTTCTAGTCTCCAGAACTGTCAGACAGTAAACGTCTGTTGTTTAAGACAGCCAGCGTGTAGTACTTTGTTATGGCAACCCTGCAAACTAATATATCATTTAAATGCTGATGACTACCGAATCTCAAATTCCAATCTCCGAGCCCCAGACCACTTCAGGAATTGAACATTCTCTAATTTGTGCCTAGATTTTAATTTATAAAGGTGACTGAGTGACAACACGGAGAGGTCAATGCCACTGAAAGAAACATTTAATGTTACAGTTCCCCGAGAAGCGAGAGGCACAGCTCACCACACAGGACGGCCGGGGGAGGCACCAGTGTAGAGGGCAGAAAGGAGCCGGGGCGGGGGGGTTGCGGCACAGGCCACAGCCTTTACTAAATGGGAAAGGCAAGGCAAGGTAGACAGTTTAGGATTGGCTAGTTGGAGTCATTCGGGCAGGCTTTGGGACATAGGAACCGTCCCTAGTTATCTGACACCTGACCCTGGGTTGATTTTAGGAGAGGGGAAATATTGGTTTGTTGAGTGAGAATTAGATTAAAGAAGCAGCTCAGAGTATGGGCTCTGGATTGCAGATGAGATGTCAACTTTGGCTGTTAGTTTGGCCCTGTGATTCATGGATGCCAAGTAGACAAATACAGAATCTAAGAAAACTCAATTAGCAGCGAGCACGCTAACCTCCATGTGTCTAAGAGCGAATCTTCCTCCTCCTCAAACCTTCCTCTGCCCCAGTTCCGCCAGCCCAGGGACTGGCACTGCCATGCATCCCTGAGTCATACAATCAGAAACTTGGGAGTCCTTCATGATTTCTCCTTCTCTCCCAACCTCCAACCTACCACCAGGTCCTATCAGTTCCCCCTCCTATCCTAAAGATCTTCACTCCTCTTTGGAGCTTCCTCCAGGCCAGGCAGCCATCTGCCATTCCAAAGTTCTCTTAACAGCCTAACTGGCCTGTTTCCTTTCTCAGCCTCCTCCAATCCATTCTCCAAGTTGCCTGAATGGTTCTTCTAAAACACAATTCCGGTCATGTCGCCCACCCCTTCGTAAAACTCTTTGATGGCTTTCCTCCACCCTTTGTTTAAACTCTAACATCCTCCCCTTTTTAAAGATTTTATTTATTTATTTGACAGAGAGAGAGATAGCAAGAGAGGGACACAAGCAGGGGGAGTGGGAGAGGGAGAAGCAGGCTTCCCGCCGAGCCTGACGCGGGACTTGATCCCAGGATCCTGGGATCATAACCTGAGCCGAAGTTGCCCCAAACTCTTAACATCCTTTGTGTAGCTGCTCACAGCTTGATTCTTGACCATCTCGTATGCCCCAGACACACCAGATTTCTTTTGGTTCCTTTAAGAAGTCTCTCACATCTAGGCTTTTGCTTATGCTGTTTCTGCTCCTGAAACTGTTCTCTCCCCACCTCTCCTTTGCCTGGGAAACTCCTACTCGTTTTTTGGTTTCACCTTAAGTGTACCATCATTTGACATCTGGGTACACTTTATCTGACCCATGGAGTTTGGGCACCCTCCTCAGTGCTCCCACTGCAGCTGTACTTCCCTTACCCAGCCCCATGCCCTATGGCAGGGGTTCAACCCTGACTACACATTTGAATCTTCCAGAGAACATCTAGGTTATATTGACACCTAGGCTCCTCTCCAGACCAACTATAGCAGGGGGTGAGGCCTGGGCGCTGGTAGTTTTTTTTAAAACTCCCAGATGATTCCAATCTTCAGTCAAGGTTGCGAACCACTGCTCTGTTAGATTATGTATTTGTTTCCACATTCCAGTGATGAGAGGGAACAGCATCCCCGGGGCATCCCTAGTGCCTGATACAAAGTGGGTGATGAGTACATTCCATCGTGCTTACTTGACAGGGATTAGATGAGACAGTGCAGAGTGACACTGTGTGAATGACTGTAACCTGTGTGTGTGTGTGACTCTATGTGGAATGCCATGCACTCAATAGCTGAAACCTGTGTGACAGTCGGGTGTCACAGTGTGAATGTCTGTGTCCAGTCTGGGAAGACCACTGTGAATGGCTGAACACGGTGGGACTGCAGAGCGTTTTCACAAGGTGAGTGGCCGTGTCCTGAGTGGGGAGGTCACAGGATGCCACCACAGCAGTAGCTGTGTCCTGTGTACCAGTGACTGGGGACCGTGACCAGGCTGCCTAACTCAAGCGGCCGGGGCACGGTTTGAAGAAGGCGCTGGAGGCACCTCTCACCAAGATGGAGGCGGTGAGGGAGGCCGCTAGTCCTCGCAAGGGGTGGCACCGCCAGTGACCGCGAGGCGGAAGCAGGAGGCGCCCGGGCGCGCGTCCCGGGCGATGGGGCGGGGAGGCCATTAGCAGGTGACTCGGCTCAGCTCGGCGGCCGGCGAGGTCCCGGCACCGCCCCTCACCACGCCCGCCGCGGGGCCCAGTGGAGGTGGGCGGGGCCCGGACGCCCGCACCGCCAGGCCGCAGCCGCGGTCCCTGCACAGGCCGGCCTATGGCCTGTAACGGGCGGGGCCGGGCGCTGGAGCCAGTGAAGAACTTGAGGGTCAGAACCCAAACACCCAAGATGCCGAGCTCCTCCCAGAGCCCTCAGAATGGCACCTGGACAGAGCCCGTCTCCCTGCTTTTAGGTCTTGGCGTCACCCTCTACTTGGGCTACTACTGGAGATATGTGCCCCGGGTGGGTGCGGGTGCCGAGCTCTGGCCGGCGGGTTTAGGATCCTCGGGCCTAAGGAGCAGCTTCCAGCCAGGGGCTCGAGCCCTTTGTGGGAGGTGGCACGACTGGGCCCCCGCAACAGGTGAAATTTCATGCCCCCACCCCACCACCAGCCCTGCGCGTGCTGCAGCAGGGTTCTGCTTTGCTCTGATCACCTAAGGGAGAGTCGGTTCTTTGCCTGCCTAGATTCTCTGCATCCCGTAGGCTCCCCGTACCAGTTGGGCCTTTCAGGCACCGGAGGGGTGCTGCTCCCTAGGATGTGGGCAGACATTTGGGGAAGGGCGGGGTAGAAGGCATCCCGAGGTGTCAGGCAGATGCTTTCCTCTTCTAAAAAGGCAGTCTAGCTGAGTTTCTCACTAGCTTCACCGAATAAAGGAACTGGAGGCCTGTGTGGCTCTGGCTAACTCCCACCACCCCATCAGCCTAGTAGGCCCTTGCTTCTCTCACAGGCTGGGGGAGGTTCCCTGCCTAGCTCAGGACTAATGGATAACCCTGTCGTTCATTCTGCCTTGTTTTAACTTCTAGGCTCTCCATGTATATATGGTGCAGTGGGAAAGTCTGAAGAGATTTTTCACTGAAATTTAGATAAAATACATTAATTTACATACCCAGAAAAATCTAAGTCTTTTAAATCTTCATTAAACTGTTCTAGGTAATGGAGTCTAATATAAAACCAATTGATTCAAGCCCTTAAAAAAGATCTATAGGGAATTTAAATGTTGCCTAGACTTTTCTCTATTTTCAGAGCTTTTTTACATTCGCATGTATTGTCTGCCTTAATAAAAGATCCAAACCCACAGTACCCTATAAATCTTACCTTCCATGCCTAATTTCAAAAGTCAGTCATTTCAGACCAGAGCTCTACTTAACTAACCATTTTCCTTTGCTTGCAACCAGCCACGAAGTCAGAGACCTCTGCCTCTTTATATTCCAAACCCTCCCTTGACTTCCAAATACTGCTTAAAATGCAGGAAGTGCATTCTGGAAGTCCTGAGGAGTTTGGATTGTCCAGCATGTTAATGAACTAGTATCGATTCATCCACAGAGACCAATGGCATATTACTAATTAATTCTCAAGAAATGAGTCAAGAAACTCTTCACTAGAGCTAAAATAAAATTAACCTGTGACCTAATCTGTTCTACACTGAGCTATTTGATCAAGGATTCCATAAATTAGTAACTCAAAATCCTGGCAATGAGCAGGTAATAAGAGTACAGTGACTAAGAGCATGAGCTCTAGAGTCAGACCTGGGTTTGAATCCCAGCTCCACCTCTAGCTGTCTTTGGCAAGATAATTTATTCAACATTCAAACCTGTTCCCATAGGGGAATCACAGGATCTGTGCCAAAGAACTGTTGTGAAAATCACAGGATATAATCATGTAAAGTGCTTAGCACAATGCTTGAGACATGTGCACTCAAGTTTTACCTACTAGTATTGGTAGTAACACAATTGCGAATTCCACTTTGCCTCTTGCTTGCTGTGTGACTTTGGGGAAACCATCTGAGCCATAGTTTCTTCACTTACAAATATCCTAGCCCCTAAGGTTGGGCTTAGCCTAGTACCTGCACATAGCACACAATGAATCACAAGCATCATTATTCCAGGGCTTAAGGAGCAGGGTACAAGTCACATCTCAAGACAGTGGCACGAACAACTTGGCCTCTCTAGTTCATAATTTGCCTAGCCTTTTGTGAGTACTGAGCCTGCAGAAGACCTACAAATCTGATCATCAGGTTCCTTAGGGCTCGTACCAGAAATGCAATTTCTATTTCTTGAGCCTGAGGCCTTTTGGCTTTCTATGGCACACCCCTCTTTCGTAAGCCACGTGGCTAGGCCCTCTCACTCACTTGATGTGCATCCAGAACCAGCAGAGGCGTTGAAAGTCAGGGCCAACTCCCCCACTGACCTGTCTGTCCCTGCCATTCTCTCTGTTACCTTCCTTCTGGCTGGCATAAAAGAAGAGAAAAATCTGTTCCCATCGGGACTATTCCTCCTTTGGAGTATGCTCTAACAGCAAGCCCCATGACTAAGAAAATGAGGTGCTGTGGTCGAAGCCCTTCAGCTGTGAGCACACACTGTAGGGAATGCGAGTATGTGGCAATGGGGTGCTAAAGCCAGGAGCCAGCATGGCCAGAGCTAGTCTTAGGAAGATGCCAGGGTGGGTAATTCAACTGCAGAGCAAAAGTCACAGACTGAATGGTGCTGTACTTCTTCAGCCTCTGACGGGGATGCCAACCCTTTCCACAAGGAGTCAGTTGGGCAATGTATATTACCTGCTCTCTCCAAACTGGGGCTGGGGCACGGATAGGCTGAGCGGGAGAGTCAGCACTCGGTCAGCTGCAGCAGCTCCCAGCCCTGGCACTGAGTCAGTTCAGAGTCAGGCCGGGGAGGTGGCACTCCAGGACTGGAGTTCTTGAGGGCTCCGGCTGGACTACATTCACAGAAGTGACTTGGCCGTTCCGGGCCGAGGTGGGCTAGATTTCTCACCACCTGAGGCTGGCCTCTGTAGAGGGGCCATGCTGGTGTTGGGTGCCTCACTGGCCTTGCAAACACCAGGGGGTGAGGCAGACTGTGTTGTGGTTGCAGAGGCCTCAACTGGTGACTGGGTCCTGGTTTCTGGCCTTCCTGGAGCAACACTGTCCAGTCACTCTGGAGACTTTCTACCCTACGCTATGATGTTTTGAGGGACGGCTACAAACCATCTTCTGAGTCTTAACTGTAGTCTCAGCCTCCAGTCCCTTACTGGAGGTAAGAAGGGACACAGAGGGGTAAACATGAGGCTGCAACTACCGGGGAATCCTGTCTTCCTTCTTTAAACTGAAGGTAATCTTTGCCCCATCTACCCCGGTGTGTTGGGGGTAACAATGAGTGGCTATATGGAAGGGCTATTTAATTGCTCGACCATGAGGTAGTATTTAATCATTTATGTCCCATTACACCTTGTTATGGTCTTTTTTTTTTTTAAAGATTTTATTTGAGAGAGAGAGCATATGAGAGAGAGAGCACGAGCAGGGCCGGGAGCAGAGGGAGGAGCAGATTCCCCGCTGAGCAAGGAACCCGATGTGGGACTCCATCCCAGGACCCTGGGATCATGACCTGAGCCGAAGGCAGATGCTTAACTGACTGAGCCACCCAGGCGCCCCACACCTTGTTAGGATCTTAATGTCTTGCATAATGTATGCCCTCAAATGATGCCAATGGGAAGGTTTGGGAGTTGTTTGTTGGGCAAGAGAGGTAAACCTTTTGAAGTACATGGAATTCCTAATAGTATCTTTGTGTACCCTTTTCTCCCCAACCACAGTGAAGTCCTCCACACCCCAGATGGAGGCGTTTCTGCTAGACTGGGCTGGCCGGCATGGCAGCAGTCAGTACCCTGACCCTACTACCCAGCCCATTGTATTACTGCTTCCTGGTATCACAGGCAGTAGCCAGGACTTCTGTATCTTCCAACTGGCCAACCAAGCTCTGAGGGATGGTTATAGGTAAGGATGGGCCAAGTCCAGAGAAGTGGGTGGTGTCTGAGAACTTGTAATAGGGAGGTCAATGAAGACCCCGATACCTCTGGGGAGAAGGCACTATATGAAGGGCACCTTCTGACTGGGGTCTTTCTGAAGGCTACCAGAGGGGAGTGGGGCTTCTAGCGAGGGTCTGGCTGAGATGTACCTATGTGTGCCACAGAGCTGTTGTATTTATTTATTTTATTTTTTTTTTAAAGATTTTATTTATTTATGAGAGAGAGAATGAGAAAGAGAGAGCACATGAGAGGGGGGGAGGGTCAGAGGGAGAAGCAGACTCCCTGCCGAGCAGGGAGCCTGATGTGGGACTCGATCCCGGGACTCCAGGATCATGACCTGAGCCGAAGGCAGTCGCTTAACCAACTGAGCCACCCAGGCGCCCGAGCTGTTGTATTTAATAACCGGGGCTGCCGTGGGGAAGAACTGCTCGTGAGGACCCTCCTTCCTCATTGTAGCCCTTCCCCCCAACTCCCTTAAGAGATCCTTGACCCTGGGGCTCTACCTACCTATCCTCCTTCCACGCCCCTTCCACCTTTCCGCCTTCAGGCCAGGGCCTCCCTCCCTACCCAATCATCTGGTTTGCCTCAGACCCACAGGGCCTTTTCTGCCAACAATACTGAAGATCTGGAGACAGTCGTGAACCACACAAAGCACCGCTACTCCCAAGCTCCACTGCTGGCCGTGGGCATCTCTCTTGGAGGGTAAGAGTTGCCTGGGCTTGACCCAAAGGCCCAGTCTTCCTTTGTTCCCTCCTCCATGCCCTCTTGCCCTCTCCTCCGTGCCCCCTCACTAATGCAAACCCTTCTTTCGTGGCCCCTGGCCCATCAGGGTACTAGTGCTGAACCACCCAGCACGAAGAGGGCAGGCTTCGGGGCTGGTGGCGGCACTGACTCTATCTGCGTGCTGGGATTCCTCTGAGACCACCCGCTCCCTGGGGACCCCACTCCACTCACTGCTCTTCAGTCAGCACCTCACTGCTGAGCTCTGCCACATTGTGAACCGGCAGGGTCTTGGCAAGTGGGAGGAGGCAGCAGACAGGAGGAGGCAGCAGACAGGGAGGGATGGCGGACACACCAGGTTCTCCCAGTGCTCAGGTCAGTTCTCTATCTGGGTTTGCTCACTCATGAGACAGACAGGGTCAGGTCCAGGAGAGGCAAACCTCTATGAACTCTTTTGCAGAAATAGAAAGGTGATGGAAAAGGGTGGGAACGTAGACTTCGTGCTACAGGTATAGTCTTTCAACCACCACCCCCTGCCCAAAGTTGTTCAATTATCTTCTACTCCCTAGCCTCATCTTAGCCTACCCCACCCTCGACCCCGGGCAGGCCCGCACAATCCGGCAGTTTGATGAGTGCTACGCAACTGTGGCCTTTGGATATCAAGATTGTGTTACCTACTACCAAACAGCAAGCCCAAGAACCAAGGTAGATGCCATCCAGACCCCTGTGCTCTGCCTCAATGCAGCTGACGACCCCTTTTCCCCAATCCATGATGAGCAGCCTGAATCTGGATGCTTTAGAGGCCCCAGGGAAAATGGGCCATGAGGTGCAAGTGGAGAGTGCCTGGGCTCTCAGGAAAGGCCTGGGTTCTGACCTCCTCTCCAACCCTCCCCAAGCCCTTCCCCTACAGGCTGCTCAATGCTCTGCCCACGTGGCACTGCTCATCACAGCCCGGGGTGGCCACATCGGCTTCCCGGAAAGGCTGTTCCCCTGGCAGCACTGCTACATGACCCGCCTCTTGCATCAGTACGCCAAAGCCGTCTTCCAGCCCTCGGCGGAGCTGCTCAACCTCAGCGGTCTCTCCCCTTCCAAAAGAGGCAAGAGCTGACAGGAGTACCACCGGGGTCTTAATTCAGTCTTCGCTTATTTATTAAATATCAACTTTTCCCGAAGAACGGGCTGAGGTTCATTTTCCCTTTCCTCAAGGTTAGGGTAGACCATCCAGGAACTTACTGTGTCTGTAGCCGAGCTGGCTTGGAGCTACCAGCTGGACCCAGAGACGACAGCTTGGGTCTTCCTTTTGCCCCTTCCTTCCCTAACTGCAAGTCCCAGGCCAGGGCCTGCCCCAGCAAACACCAGGGGTTCATGTGAAGAGCAACTGATGGACAGCAGTACCTCCAGGTTCTTGGGCATCCTCACATATTTCTGGAGAGAGGACAAGCTCAACTCTGGAGCCTCTGTTAGGCAGAGGGAAAGATGCAGGTGGAGTGGCCTGGGCTGCAGGTACCACTGTCCTGGGTGGATCCACGGATGAAGAATGAAGGGTTCCAGGACTCAGAGTCACACAGGGCCATAGCCAAGCTTTCACTGGGCAGGGCAGGCAGTGCCCATCAGTCTCATCAGAAGCAACCCCAACTGTGGACCCAGGTGGGGTGAGCAACGGGGTGCAGGCCTCCACTCTGGTATAGAAGATGGCCGTGTCCACACTCGATTCCCCAGGAGCATGAAGGCTAAAGAAAACCTGGGAAGACACCCTGGAGCAGCACGATGGTCATAACAATAAGCCCGACACAGAGCAGGAGCAACAACCAGACAGGAACACTCCCTGCACGAGGGTAAGGAAAGAAGTCAGCAGGCAAAGGGATTCACAGCCCTAAGAACAGAACCGTTTAAGAGGGCGGCAGACGGCTACAGACAAGCAGCCCATTCTCCAGGGGGCAACTTTCTGCTATAGCTAGAGGTAGGTACCCCCCACCCCAATGACTCACTCCGCGAGGGCAGCAGGTGCAGCTGGCAACGACTGTCCACAGCCACAGAGAACAGGGCAGTTTCATGGAACCCGAGGAGCTCTGGACCACGACCCTTCTCAGGCAGAAAGGCCACATCCGTCACGACAATGCCATGAGCCTCCTTCACATAGTAGAGGCGCTGGAGACAGAAGAACTAGTGAGGCAAGGCCTAGTTGGAAACATTCCTTCTGGAAAACATGCTCCCTTGTCCCCAGATGGCCTTCCCTCTATGGGCTGGGCCAGACTCCTTCCTGCAAACTTAGATTGAAGCAGGTCTAGATTCTCCCCCTCAAGAGCCCCCAGGGCTGTGCCCACCTCTACACCTTACCTGGAGAGAGAAAGCTATGTAGATGGCGACAGAGCCGGTGACTGTGCCCAGGCCTAGGAAGGTACCCGACTCACTGCAACAAACAAAGTGTTCACTGTTCTGGAGGCCTGTGCAGCAAAATTCACTAACAGTGGTCTTCAGAGCCTCAGACCGGACACCTTCCCAAGCTCCCCCAGGCACCCCGCAACCAGTCAAGCCACCACTGTCTCACACCTGACACTAAGGCAGGAGATGACTTCGTGGCCACAGGACTTGGTCCGAAGGGGCAGGAAGGTGGAGCCATCCCAGGCTGTGAGGTAGCAGGGTGGGGGCTGGCGCAGACGCTTGTGGGGAATCTGCACTGTGAAGAGTCGCAGCCTGGTAGGTTGGTCTGGAACCTGCCCAAACCTGGCGGGGGGGGGGGGGGAGGCGGAGAGGCTGTTCAGCTCCTGGGGCCTGCCTAGCCCTTCTCAGAGGCCTGTGCCCTCCTGTACCCTGGTCAGGCCTGGGGTAATACCCACCAAGGTTGCAACCCTCCCCAGCTTCCCCCCTCCCCACCACATCTAGGCTGGGCCTCTTTTAGCTACCCTCTGGGGTCTCACACCTGCAGGCCTGGTAGCGGTAAGGCGTGTTAGAAAAGGTGGGTCCGTTCTCTTGCCAGTGCAGCTGTGTCACCAGCTGATCCTTCTGCCACACGGAGGCCTTAAGGTCCCAGCCCACAGTTACCAACTAGTCAGGAATCAAGATTCCAAGGATGGACAGTTAGGGGATCCACCTACTGGACAAGCAGCATCATCACCTACTTTCTCCACCCTCTCACTTCCTCACCTTGCCATCAGGCCCCAAAGCCAGGTCCTCAATCTCTCCTTCGTGGGCTCTGAACTCCAGAACTTTCTCTAGGCTGGGTACCTGCAGCCAAACCACCAGCATGGTTACCCCAGGTAACTGGCAAGGCGCCATGATCCTCACCCGTCTCTGCCACTCAGTGCAGGCTTCACTCACAAGTCTCCCAGAACCCAGGTTCGGTTTCTCACAATTCTGGCCTTGTTGCTATCGACACTGATCCCCTAATCCCCAAAATCATACCTTCCAGATACGAACGTAGCCATCCGTCCCTCCAGTGGCAAGCAGGGTGTTATCGTGGTTGAAGCATACAACTTTCTGAAATGGATCAGGGCTGAAGTCTGTCTGCACCGCTTGCAAATTCTCTACACTGAGTTCTATCCCCTCCTGGTGGGTTTCAGCTCCAGACTTCTTCTCTACTGGGGCTGCCCCCTTCCTCTGTCGAGGTCCCTGCTCCTTGCAACCTGCAATACAAAGAGCCTGCCAGGTTCCAGGCTTCTATAGTAAGTAGTACTGGTCTCCTCCCTAGTAGTGAACATCCGGCTTCTTCCCTGCTACCACAACCCACACTTCCAGCCCCACTTCTTTTAGAAACCAAAATAAGTGATCTTACTCATTTAACCCTTTCCCCAAAGCGAAAGAGGGAGCTTCTCACCTGCCTTCTCTGCCTTGGTTTTGCCCTTCTGCTGATGGGTCTGGAAGCGCAGGAGCTGACAGTGGGCATCCTGCCCTGCGGCAAGGATGTTACCAGCCAGTGCCAAGTTCATGGTAGCCCGTGTCTCTGTGTCATGGGAGTGTAGCAAAGAGGCACTCAGGCGCCCATTAATCTGCTCTAGCTGTAGAAAGTGCTGTGGAAGAGAGAACCAGGATGAGCAAGGTTCAGGGGTGCCCAGAGAGCACCTCAAGGGCAAACTTAGATCCTATAGTCTAAAGCCCTACCCCTTTGATTACTGCACTTTCTACTTTAAAAGGCTTTTCCCAGCCTGCTTGCTTCTTTCCCTTTCTTGGTTTCTTTCTTTCAAACCGCACAAATCTGTACAGGAAGGAGGGTTGGAATTAATACTTCCAGTTTACAAAATAATAGGGTGACCCTCAGAGGAGTGAAGAAACCTAGCCTAAAGGCCAAATGCAGCACTCCTGCCGCTGCTGGAGAGCGGTGGGCCAAGTCTTTGCGGCGTCCCCAGAAAACTCCAGGATTAAGACCCCTGGAGCTGCTCTTGAGGTCGAGTTGAAGCCTAAGTTCCTGCCTAAGCGGCGCTGTGTATTTTTACTCTACCTTAGGAGTTGCTGGTGGGTAAGTTCTTAGCTGAAATTCGCGCTGGGGCGCCCGAAAAACCTAGACTTCCCACCGGGGAGAGGTAAGGTCTGAAGCTTGAGGTGCGGCCATCCCCAAGATCCCCTACCACCATCACCCCTGGCGTGACCCGGCCCCAGGGGCCCTGAGCTCTCACCACGCCATTCTTTATGCCCGTCTTGGCAGCGCCTCCTCCGCCTGCAGCGATGAGCAGCCCCGTGCTGGGGTCGACCTGAAGCGCATACAACGGGAACGGGGCCCGGTACAGCTCCGGCGCCCGTCGCCGGCCCATCCTGCTCGCGGCGCGCTTCACTGTACGTACCGCGGCACCCCGGACATGCCGCGCCGGCTTTTGACCCCTGTCCCGGTCGCTATTTAACTTGGTCCCGTGGCCGCCAGGAAGATTCCCGACTCCTCTGTCACACCCTCCGACCTGCCAAAACTCTAACCCAGCGATTCGCCAAAACGACACTCAGGGATCTGGATCTCCGCCGCCCGTCTTTAACCGGGTCTGCCTGTCGCGCAGTGCGCACGCGCACCTAGCCCGCTGCTCTCCTTGCGCAGACGCAGGACCGCCAATATGCGTCAGCACTAGCCGGCCGGTGACCCAACACCCCCCTCAGGTTTCCGTCCCCTTTGTGACGTCAGCCTCCACCATGTTTGTGCAGGGTCGGGAGGCTTGCTCCTCTTCCAGGGGCTCGGCTTGGTGATCCCTAAAAGTTAAGGGATGTTAGCAAACCTTTAATAAATTTGTGGGGGCTCTTGGCTTGCTCATTTGGTAGAGCATGTGACTCTTGATCACAGGATTATAAATTTGAGCTTTGAGCTCCAGGTTGGATGTAGAGATGACTTAAAAAAAAATCCTTGGTTACGGCTGTCCCCATTTCAGGAGTGATACAGAAGCTAAGTCCTTACCTTTTATCTCAGAGAGGGAGTGATTTGTTGCAGGTCACACACCTTGGAAATTCAGCATTTGGGAACATGAACTGTGTCTTTTGCCTTTTAATGGAGGCAGAGTGGACTTTAAAATAAAACTGGCTTCAAATCCTCAATCCACCACTGCCTGGTTTAAGGAAACCGCAATTTACCTTAGCCAAGCACCTATCCCCTGTGGCTGGCAGATTGGAGAGTTGGCCATTCTTGTGGCTCTGCACACGACAGCATTCAAGGGTTTGGGAGGGGGCTGCTCCCTGCTGACACCCTCAGAGGGAGGCAACTTGGCTCCCAGGCAGGGCAGGTCTCTTTTTTGCCTGGCATTTCCATCTTCCTGAGGGGGTCCCTTGGGTTTCTGATCTTCAACATCAGACTCTTCATGTTTCTCTGCAAGTGAACCCTAGGAATGTCTGTCCCTTCAAGGAGACACCTCTTGCTGCTTCCCTGGCTGCCTAAGTAAGCATTGTTGTTACCCTAAGGTGCTCTCAGGAAGGAGCCCAGTGGCTTCATCTTTGGGAATGCTGTTGTCTGTCCCACCAGATTGAACTAAATATGTAAAGGGCCCCGCAGAACTGTCTGCACATCTCAGGTGCTCAGGCCTTATGGACCCCATGCCCTTCTCAGATACATGGCACCTACTCTCCTGGTCACCCTGTTTGACTCTCCGCCTCCCCTTGTTTAGTTGTGGTCCCCAGTAGGTTCAGCTACCCACTGTGTCTGCTCAGCAGGACACCGATGTTTGTTGCAGGCTTTCTTTTCCTTTAGTGCCCACAGTTCTTGGTCATGCCACTTCGAAGAATGAAGAGGTAGACCAGACGAAGAGTGGTGGGCAGCAAAGCAAAGTTTATTGAGCGACAGCACAGAGCTCCGAAAGAGGGAGGGGACCCGAGAGGGTTGCCAATGTGGCAGTTAAATCTAGGGGTTTTTATGGGTGATTTGGTGGGGCTGTTTTAATCTGATTAACCCTCCATGGGACTGTCACCCAATCAGGTTTTTTGTCCACATGCTCATCTACCTATCAGGTAATTGTTCAGGTGGGAAAGGGTGGAGGGCTTCTTCCAGGGTGGTGTTTCATAGTAGCCTCAGGGATCAAGAGGGCGGGGCTGCCACTGCCTTAAGGCATGCTGGTCAGCCACAGGCCACTAGATCAAGCTCTTAGCTTAAATATCCCACTGGCTGTTGACCTGCCCCTCCCTCCCCCGGGGCCTGGGTTAGGACACCCAAGGCCATTCCCTTCCTTTCTAAAGTTGTAAATCCTCCCAGTTGGAAGACTTAAAGCTGGGACACTGAGTAAAGCCTAGAATAACAGGATGGGGGCTTTTTCCTTTTAAGGGTGGTTTCCTCTTAGGACGGACGGGGATGGGGGGCACTTACCCCTGCCTGCCTGCCTTCCGACTATCCTCCATCAATGTGGGAAACGAAGGCAAAAGAAAAAATTATATTTCTTTGTAACTTAACAGCCCATTGACAAGTCCTTTAGACAGGGGGGTGGGGGGTGACCTTCCCCTAGAAACTCCACTGCCTCAATGTTAATACTTTGCTAGAGGCAAAAGGCAACCTTAGCTTAACATTATCCCAACTTGCAGGATCCTGGACGTCTCCTTTAACAAATAAAAATTCCTTTGAAAACTTCCTTTATCTCTAACCCCAAGATATATGTTAGCGATCATCCTCCAAGCATATGGCCCACTGATAAACATCTGAAGGGTCTCATGACTAACATTTTATTAGACAGTAATAAATGACCTTTTCCTAACAATAACTAGCCCCCTCAAGGTCCTGGAAACCTTGCTTCCAACATTCCTTAGAGACTTAGACTATCCCTAACCCCCTCCCAACTTGAAAGTATATAATCAGCCATTCCTCACAACTCCAGTGCAGCTCCTTCTGCCCACGGGTCCTGTCCACGTGCTTTAATAAAACCACCTTTTTGCACCAAAGGCGTCTCAAGACTTCTTTCTTGACTGTTCACTCCAAACCCCAACATTTCCACATCAGACACTAACAAGTTTTGCAGAGTCGGGCTTTATTGATACACTACAGGCTGAATGGGGTCTAAGGTGCCCTTCATCCTCTTCAGCCAGGAGAGAGCAGACTCCATAAGGGGCTCCCAGGGTTCAAGGCTGGAGAACACACTTGACCTCCTGCCAGCCAGCCCTTCAGGGTGTCTCGGGGACTCCCCAAGATCTGGGGCCTGGTCGGGGCAGCGGGGTTCGGAGGAGGTGCTCCAGAGAAGCCTCCTCGGCTCTGGAACTAGGGTGGTGACTTTTGGAGAATGGGCTCTGGAGAGGCAGGCCCCTTGGACACAGAGAAAGGCCTGGGTTTCAGGGAGACAGTGGCTTGTTTGGGTGCCTGAGGTAGAGGCCCTGAAAAGCGCATAGAGTTTGGTGACTGAAGGCCTGTAGATCTGAGACTCGTGGCCTGGGAGGATGTGCCCCGGGCTGGATGGGCCCGTGCCTGAGCCACTGCTGCTTGAGCTGCTGGAGCGTGGGATGCCCGGGTTTGATATCCATGGGCCTGAGCAGCCTTGCCCTGAGGCCCTGCTTCCTCTGGCCTTCTTTCTGGCAAGAGATGCAAGGCCCTGGCCTGGCCCCGAGGCAGGCGGAGGCCAAAACCAATACCTATGCGGAGTGGTCCGGATTCCTGGCCCTGTGCACAGGGCAGTAGCTGGGGGAAGGCAAGCAGCCGGGGTCCAGTCCTGTACCTGGGGATGGGGCAAGAGGGGCTGCGCGGCTTGAGGCACACCAGGCAAATGGGATATTCTACAACTGGGGCCTGGCCAGTTCTCCCTAGCCACAGGCGCTGCAAAAGCAGGAGCCGCAGGTCGTGTGCAATGCGCCGGTGCCCCAGATGGGCCACCAGGGCTTGGGCCAGGGCTCCCGGGTCCCTGAACTCTGCAGGGTTCCTCTCGCTTGCCACGCATTCCCCCGCCGCCTCAGGGGAGCTGGTGTCCCCGTACTGATGCCAGGGCGATGTCTGTCTGTTTGAGTGGACCCCACCAGAAGGTAGGCTGGGGGTCGGGGAAGTGACGGTGGAGCTAGGGCGGTCTCCTGTGGGGGAAGGAGACTGGCAATGAGAGTGGGGGAGAGAGGTGTTCTGTAGCTGAGAGGGAGAGGAGGAATGCGTGTGAGTAGGGGAGGGGTACAGCTGGTGGGAGGGCGAGGAAGAGGGGGGGCAGGAAAGAGAGAGGTAATTCTGATGAAAGAAACTGGGGGAACTTGGGAGAGAGGAAGAGTAAGGGTGTAGGATAAAGTCAGAATTTGAGTCAGAAGAGTAGAAGTGCGAGCCTGGAGAGCGTGGCCGTGGTGGAGGGGAGCAAGGGGAGTGGGAGAGAGGGGGTGGTCGCGGGGGAGGCAGAGGCGGTAGGTTGCTGGGTGGGGAGTGCCCAAGTTGAGAGGGGCCCAGAGGGGGGTGCCCAGGGGGCGCTGCGTTCTGTAGCAGCACCTGGTCCTTGTTTTGAGGCAACATTGCCTTGAATCAGAAGGGACTGGGGCCTCAAGACCAGAGACGAGAGACCTGGCAGAATCAGGACCAGTATCTCAGAGGCCAGACCCGGCTGAGAAATCAGGGCCTTCTGTGCGCAAGTGTGGCTCCAGCCCAGGGTTGGTGCAGCTGTTGGTGGCAGGACAAGGAGACCCCCAGCCCTGTAGCACTAGGCTCTCTGAGTGTTTGGGTGGGGAGCTTGGGTCTAAACTTGGCCTCTCACTTTGCATTCAGCCATTGATGAGGGATGTATAAGGATGGAGAATCAGAGCTGCCTCTTGGGAGCTGAGGGACAGCATCAGTCATCTGGGTGGGCTAGGGAGGAAGACACAGCCCATAGGACCTGTAGAGAAAGAAACAGAATCTAAGATATTGGGAGAATTGGTCCACTTCTGGCTCTGAAGACTGATTTACCAACACCCTAAATCCTTGCACCTTTGGGGTCAGAAGAGCTGGCAAAATGCTCCAGGGGAGGTGAGAGATGAGGAGAATAATGGTGGGGGGAGGTAGAATGGAGGTGGAGGAGGGGGCTTGAGGATGGCCGCAGAGGTGGGACGAGAAATTGTGGTGTTCTGGTGCTGTGAGCTCTTACCAATGAGGGTTCCTCTGAGCTGTGAGCTATGTTTCACAAGGCGCTTCAGCAGTGAGGAACCTGGGAGAGAGAGGGACAGTCACAAAATGGTGGCTACACCCCCTCTGTCCCCAGCATCTGTCACCCTAAACTCACTCTGACCCAGATTTCTGTCCGAACCTTGCCCTCGGTGGTCCTCCAGCCAGGAGGAGGTCTTCTGTTACAGACTTTTGCTCCCCTAAACCTGAATCAGGGATTCTGCAAGCATCCTGGTTTCCTGCCCATCCGGTTTCCCTGACTCCTTGTCACCCCTGATGCTGATGTCCTCTGGCTCGGCCGGGCCCTCAGCACACCCAGCAGTGGGAGCAGCACCACCAGCAGCTGCGGCGCCAGCTGGTGAAAACTTCTGGGAGACTGAACTTTGTCTAAGGGGCGGCGTTGCCGCCCCCCTAGGGAGCTATGAGCCCCATTCCCTGGGGGGCAGTTCTGCCTGGCATCTCATGCCTATGTCACAAAGGTCAGGTGCTGACATAATACACTCTCCTCCTCAAGGCTCTAGGACCTTCCTTCAGAGATCATCCAAAGGCTGGCCCTTGACAAAACTAAAGCAGACAAAATTCTTTGGGGGCACTCGTCTCCACGTCAGGACCTACCTCCCCCCTCCTCTCTGCCCATATATTTCACAGTTCCCACCGCCTCCTACATCTGGGGTTCTCTCCAACCTATGGCCTCTCTCAGCTGGGCTTTCTCTTCAAAGCCCTGTTTTCTTTTGCTTTCTGAGCAGTGGCTCATGCTCTATACCATTTCCGCCCTTGGGATATACTTCTATGTTTTAACAACTATTTTCTCAGCAGCTTTAGTGAGTATAACTCACACACCATAAATTCCACCCATTTAAAGTGTGCAATTCACTGTTTTCTAGTTTACTCACAGGTTACGCAACTATCACTTATACCTAAGCATGTTCTTCCTTTGGCTGGTATCTATATCTAGATAGATAAATGATAGTTACAGATATATTCTATTGGTGTCTTTCCAAAAAAGTATCTGTTTCATTTAAGTCATCTATTCTTATTGACATACAGTTGTGTATATTTATGTATAGCGATAGATAGATAGACAGATAAGAGATTTATTATAAGAAATTGGCTCATGTATCTATGGAGGCTGAGAAGTCCGAAGGTCTGCAGTCAGCAAGCTAGATACCAGGAGAGCTAACGGCATAGTTCCGGCCCAAGTCCAAAAGTCTGAGAACCAGGAGAGCTGATGGTGTCAGTTCTAGTCCAAATCTGAGTCCAAAGGCAAGAGAAAACTGATGCCCCAGCTTGAAGATAACCAGGCAGCGAGAGTGAATTCCCCCTTACTCTGCCTTTGTTGTTCTATTCAGACCTTCAATGATTGGATGAGGCTCACCCACAATAGGGAGGCAAGTTGCTTCACTCAGTTTACCAATTCAAACATTAATCTCATCCAGAAACACCCTCACAGACACACTCAAAATAATGTTTAACTAAATATATGGGCACCCCATGGCCCAGTCAAATTAACACATAAAATTAACCATCACAATATGTGACTCAAAGATGAGATGCCCTTCCAAGGAGCTATGATGCCTATATTAAAGGAGGCTGTGCCCATATCAATATTTCTAAATGTCCTGGTGCCTGGGTGGCTCAGTCCGTTAACTGTCTGCCTTTGGCTCAGGTCATGATCCCAGGGTCCTGGGATCGAGCCCTGCGTCGGGCTCCCTGCTCCATGGGGAGCCTGCTTCTCCCTCTGCCTCTCCCCCCCACCCCCACCCCCGCTTGAGCTCTCTCTCTTTCAAATAAATAAAACTCTTAAAAATATATATTTCTAATTGTCTTTTTTTTTTTCAGGTACCCTGGAGGTTTATCAAGTCCAGGCAAGTCATAATAAATTCAGGAATGAATAGGAGTCACGGCTTATATAAAGTGAGAGACTGGCACTTGATGAAAAGGTGGGTGGTGGGAAAGGAAAACCAGGCAAAATCTCGGGCACATCCGTTTTAGAGAGGAGGAAATAGGTAAGTTGTGATCCAGCCTTAGGGACTGAGGGACTTCCTAGGACGTGAGACTTTTAGTGCTAAAACCAAGACAGTTCTGGATAAACTGGGACAATTGGTCACCCTAGAACTTGGCTCCTCTTGGAAAATATTCATGTTCCCCTAGGGGTATGAGGACCCCAAATTGAAGACTGCTGTTCAAACAAAAATTTCTATAATAACTTCAATTTACACTAACCAATCTCTCCCTTAGTTTATGTTAATTACTCTATGCTTAGTAAAATTTTATTGACCAAGTGAGTAGAGGTTCTCTAAGCACTTGGCGTCCAAGTTGGAAATGTGAATTGTAATGAACTTGTTTCAGTTTGCTAGTTGTTTCCTGTTGTAGATATTATCTACCACACACTCTTTCCACCCTCCACTTCTCCAATCCTAGGCAAGAACACTGTGTTTTATTTCTTTCCAATGCTATATAGCATGCTCTTTCCAGAAATCTGCACGTTTCTTTTTTTTTAAGATTATTTATTTATTTATTTATTTGAGAGAGAGAATGAGAGAGAGAGAGAGCATGAGGGGGGGAGGGTCAGAGGGAGAAGCAGACTCCCCGCTGAGCAGGGAGCCCGATGCAGGACTCGATCCTGGGACTCCAGGATCTTGACCTGAGCCAAAGGCAGTCGCTTAACCAACTGAGCCACCCAGGCGCCCTGCACATGTTTCTTAAGAGGATAGATGACTGAATGGGTAAATTGAAAATTACTTAAGAAAATTTGACTTTGGCACTTTTTTCTTTTCTTTTCTGTTTGAGCTGTACATATGATACAGTAGGAAGGGGCTGTTTGCAGAACTACCTTGAGTATTCATGGAGAAATCATAATTATAAGAGAAGTGTCAGATAACTGCAGATCGGTAAATATTAAAAAAGGGGGGGAAGACAAATTCTAGGATCTCAGATCAGTTTCTAGTTGTTTGCTAGGAAAATTTTCAACTGGATTATTAAATAGAATGTATGTGACCTCTTAGAAAAGAAACTGATGATCACAAAGGCCAGAGTTGGTTCAAGTAAAGTAAATTATAAAGTACTTGGTTCAAGTAAAGTAAGGGCCATCTGGAAGTGGCATGTTTGCTATGTCATTGGGGAAAACAATTATATCTGGACTTTTACTTTCCAGGATGAGAAATGTGCTCTTGACCATGCCAACTAAAACACAACAGCCTAAAGTAAGTGCCAGAATGCCCATTTTAAAAAAGTAGCTCACACAAACGGGAAATAATTCACATATTCTCTCTCTATAGTCTAATATTCAGGAAGACAATATGTGACCAGAATCCACAACATTGATTTACTATGAGAAATCAGAGTTGCAAGGACTGACTTATTGCTTTCAATATCATCAGTATTCTAAAATCATGGAGCTAGACCTGCCTGGGAGTCAGAAAGATGTTTGATGCTTGGTCTCAGAAGAAGGGAAATTGAGTAAATTAATGAATTAATTGCCTAATGGCACCAAGCTAAGAGAGTTAGTTTCATTCACATCAATAGAAATACTCAAATAATGTTGAGCAAAGTTCTACCTTTTCTGTACAGTGCTGGGGTGAGTATGCCTGGATTTGCCTCTATAACCCTTCTTTTCTTTCTTTCTTTTTTTAAATTATTTTAGACAGAGAGATACAGAGAGAGAGAGAGCATGAGGCGGGGGAGAGACAGAGGGAGAGGGAGAAGCAGGCTCCCCGCTGAGCCAGGACCCTGGGATCATGACCTGAGTCGAAGGCAGATGCTTAACCATCTGAGCCACCCAGGCGCCCTAGGACCCTTCCTTTCCTACTCTTCCAAAGTGGACTGACACATTCTCTCAAACTAGCTACCAAAGACACTTGCTAGATGGGAATTGAAATACCTGTGTTCTGACCCATGATGAGTTGCTTTTGCAGTTCAGCAATGCAATGTACCTTATACCCAGGTGCTTGTAGGAACTAAATATAGTCCTTAAGTACTTACCATATGTATTTTCCCACATTGCTTTTATTTCCTACTTTGTAAATGAGTTTTATAATTTGGGAATTGTAATAATCCCTATGTATTTTTTTTTAAGTTTATTTATTTGGGGCGCCTGAGTGGCTCAGTCAGTTGAGCGTGGGATTCTTGATTTCAGCTCGGGTCCTCATCTCAGGGTCGTGGGATATGGCTCCACACTCAGCGTAGAGTCTGTTGGAGATTCTCTCTCTTTCTCTCTCTCCCGCCCCTCCCTCTGCCCCTCCTCTGCTCTCTCTCTCTCTAATAAATAAATAAAATCTTAAAAAATTAAAAAATAAAAGTTTACTTATTTAAGTAATCTCTACACCCAACATGGGTCTCGAACTCACGACCTGGAGATCAAGAGCTGCCTGCTCTTC